GCAGCTTCAGCAATTCTCCGACAGTTAGTGGTGCGATTTGGGGCGTGAGGCACGGCTTGAGTGGTGGGGTCCCGTCGAGGTTTGTATGCATGAACGGGACCCAGTTGTTATGAGTTCTGCTGGGTGGCATTTTCCCAAAATTGTTCTTTCTGTGGCTCTTCTATCGCTGTCATATTTCTATAGTATAGACATGTTGATCTTTCGAAGCTGTGAATGAAATCATACAACTTGTCCCGTAGGGTCATTGGCTTTAATCACATGTTTAGAATCTTGTTTTCCTGAAGGGAGTCTGGCTTCTGTTTGTCCCCATTTTGGACATTAGGTGCCCAGCGTTTTTTTTTTTTTTTTTTTTTTAAAGCCAAACTGGTCTAGAAGTGACTTTGGTTCCCCTGGGCTTGATGGTAGACCAGTGCGTCTGCATTCCCTTTTGGACGGTCCACATAGTGGAGAGCTTTGTTTTGTAGGGCAAACAGATCTCTCTGGTTAATCTGGCTGGTGTCCCGGGGACAAAGGTTTTTTTTTTTTTTTTTTTTTTTTACATTTTGTTTGGGTATGGAGTTTATTAGCAGCCCTAGCTTATTAGTTGAGTAAAATTTTTAAAAAGATGTCGCTACCTTAGCTGTGGTGATTGTTGCCCTGTTTGCAGGTGCTTGGTGTATTGGTTCTCCAGTAAGCAGATTTTAGCGGGTTTAAGGCTGGCTCGATGCGGTTCGGCTGCTGCTTCCCGGCGACAGCGAGGCAGCTCTGAGGAGAACATGTCGCTTTGCCAGATGCAACGACATTCCTGACATTCTGGGCTGTTTCTTCCCCTCCTTCTCCTTTGAACCTCTTCTTGGTCCAACAGTGTTTCACACCAATAAGTTATGAGTTTTCAGATGGGTTTCCTGGATGGAGCAGTATGGTGGCATTGGGTCGCCTCATCCTTAATTGGCAAAGAGGACATGATTTTTTGGATATATGAAAGCTGCCACTGCAATGTCTCCGATGTCCTCAGCACATGTCCTGAGGCAGCCGTGTGTCAAATCACGACCACAGTGCTTTTCACTGTGAGGGTCGCTTTTTAAAACTAGCTGAATATTTGTATTGACAAAGCACCATAAGTGATATAACTGTTAGTTGCTAATTGGCAGCGGATGGGGGACTTTACAAAGTTGATGCCGTTTCCAAACCACTTGAATGGCGCCTGACAGGGAGGTACATTACCGTTGTGAAAGGATGTTTCACAGAGCACGGCGCCCGGGAAGTCGGTTGGGGTGCACGCATAACTGAAACGCATCTGAGATGCTCGCAGCGCTCTTTCTGGGCTTAGCGGATATATGCGTACAGCTCTCGGCGAGCAGACTTCCTGTGCAAGAGATGGTCTCTCTGAAGGCTTTGACAGCATCTCTCTCCAACAATGGAGACACGGCAGCATGCTTTGGAGGGGGGGGTCACATCCAGAGGTGGGTAATTCTGATCCAGAGAGTAGAAGTCCAGACCAAGATTTTGTTTCAACCAACCGGTTGAGGATTCATTCAGATCTTCGTCTGGACTTTTACTCTCTGGGCCTGAACTACTCACCTCTGGTCACGTCTTAATCATGGGCAGTGAAAGCCGTGTCAGCCAGAGTAGCCCCACGTATTTCAGCGAGTGTCCTGTCGGTCCCCGTGCAAGTCTCACCCGCACCTAGATATGGCTTGCGTGCACAGCTGGTCTTCCTGTCCCGCAGAGAGGGCTACTTTCACATCTCATGCCCATGTGTCACGAGACAGGCGCCACAAGCGGAAGCAAGGCCACCCGGAGACGGACACGCGAGATGAATCACCGTATGTCTGTCTGTCTCTGGATGGATGACTGTTCTAAGCTGGGTGTCCCCTCCCAGACCAGCATTGTGTGGGAAGCACACCTGTGACACCTTTGGATGATGGTCCAGTGAGCCTCTATATTCAAGTGGCTGGTAAGGGGGGGTTAGGATTGGAGCACCAGCCAGAACCTTCTTATTTCATTGCCGCTATGAAACAGAAACCATGCCTCACTCTCCGCCCAAACCCACCTTGAGTTTACGACCTCTGTACCAGTGGTGGTTGTTGTTGTTGTTGTTGATGATTTTGGTGGGTGTTTTTCTGGCTTGTGCAGCTTCGTGCACTGTCCTTTGCTAATCGATCAGCTTGTGGGTGGG